GCCTATTACTACTATCTCAACTCTTCCTCACCTCCTTCTCCCAGCTAATTTCTTCTTATTCTTCAAAACCCATCTTCCTCTGGGAAGTTTCCCAATTTATCCCGTGGTTAATCACCCCCTCCGTGCATTACAACAGACAGAGTCCTAGTACTTACACAGTACTAAAACTTCAATCTCCTCTCTTTCCCCACTGGCCAAGAGCTTCTCAAAGGCTTAGACTGTCTTTTCACTTCTCGGTTCCCAGAGCCATGCACAGGCCCTGACTATTGAATGTCCTCAAAAAGTTCAGTCTATTGACTAAGTGAAATCCTCTACAATGAGGTCACATGCTCCTGTATGACTTCTTCCTGGAAACCAGCCTAGGTTAAAGCTACAAAGAAGTGGATTCTACTGAAGTGGGAAATCTTGTTCAAGCAAGGCACAGAGTCAAATTTCTAAGATGCTAGTCAGTGAGGCCTGCTCATGGAATGTATTTCTCATAAATACAAAGAAAAAAAGTCTTGGCAATTGGCAACTTTGGTGCAGCAGCCTCCAGGGACACAGACAGTGACATGGGAGAGAGCCTGACCTTGTGCACCTGCAGACAGACACTAATGGGAAGCACAGGCACGTGCTCAGGGCTTTAACAATCCCCACAGAAACAGCTTTAGAAGCTTCCAACTGGTTGGTTGCCAATAAACAAGAAGAAGATCTTTTTTCCATTGTTTCTGGTCTGTAAATTCTTAATGTAAAAATATATACCAGGCCCTGCTTCCGCCAAGATAGAGGCATAGGTGGAGACACTGTGCTTCCTCACACAACCAAGTTTAGAGACAACTAAATATCAGCAACAGAAAACACAGCCAGAACACAGAAAATTGAACTTTTTGGAAGTCTGATAACAACAAATTCTTCAGCCTGACCTGTAAGAGGGGCGAAACCAGCAGCTGGTGGAGCAGGGTTGCACAGGAAAACTCGGTCAGACGGACTCAGGCGCGCGGAATCCAGGCGCAGGGTTGGACCTGGTGGGCAACTCAGCGAACGACCGCGGGGAAACAGGAAGGGAGCAGGGCTGCAGGTTGACTGTGGTCTCGCATCCATGCGTGGATAGACAAGCGAGGGAGTGGGCGATTGGAAGGGACCCAGCAGGCCCCAGTGGCGAGCGACAGCACAGGGCACCGCCATTTCCCCACTCTGGCCCTGCCTCCACATACAGCATCATAACCCAGCGACTCTGAGTGGCCCGGCCCAGGTGAACCACCTAAGGCGCTGATCCTCACCCAGCTGCGAGAAACAGCAGAGGGCACTGCCATTTCGCCGCTCTGACCACGCCCCCACATACAGCGTCACAACCCAGCGACCTGGGAGTCCAAGGCTCCCCTCCTTGTACTTAACGGACGTGAACAGAACAAAAATGGCTCAAGAAGATCTCAAAGCCCCAGAGCCTATAAATCTAAGCAATGAAGAAATAGCAAAACTCTCAGATGCACAGTTTAAAACACTGGCGATCAGGATCCTCACAGAACTGGTTGATTATAGCCATAAATTAGATATACATATGAAGGGAAAACTAATTGAAATGAATGGAATTACACAGGAAATCAATAGCAATGAAAAGGAAAATGGGTCTCAAATCAATGGAGTGGACTAGAAGAAAGCAAATAATGGCCAAACAGAAAAGTGAAGAAACAAGAATTCAAAAAAATGAGGAGAGTCTTAGGAACTTCCAGGACATCTTTAAACGTTCCAACATCCTAATTATAGGGGCACCAGAAGGGGGAAAGGAACAGCCACCAGTGGAAAACTTATTTGAACAAATAATAAAGGAGAATTTCCCCAATCTGGCAAAGGAAATAGACTTCCAGGAAATCCAGGAAGCTCAGAGAGTCCCAAAGAAGTTGGACCCAAGAAGAAACACACCAAGGCACATCATCATTACATTAGCCAAGATTAAAATGAAGGAGAGAATCCTAGAAGCAGCAAGAGCTAAGGGGACAGTCACCTACAAAGGAGTCCCCATCAGACTGTCAGCAGATTTCTCAAAAGAGACCTTACAGGCAAGAAGGGGCTGGAAAGAGGTATTCCAAATCATGAAATCCAAAGACCTACAACCAAGATTGCTCTATCCAGCAAAACTTTCATTTAGAATGGAAGGACAGATAAAGTGCTTCTCAGATAAGATCAAATTCAAGAAGTTCATCATCACCAAGCCCTTATTATATGAAATGTTAAAGGGACTTATCTAAGGAAAAGAAGTTAAAAAAACATGAACAGTGAAAGGACAGCAAACTCACAGTTATTGACAATCACACCTAAAACAAAAGCAAACTAAAAGGACAGATAGATCAGGAGTGGAAACATAGAAATGAAGATCTCAAGGGGGGTTAGTAACAGGGGAGTGGGAGGAGGAGAAGGGGGGAGAAGGTACAGAAAATAAGTAGCATAGACAGTAGATAGAAAATAGATGGGGGGCAAGAATAGTATGGGAAATACAGAATCTAAAGAACTTGAGACACATGGTCATAAACTAAAGGGGGGGTAATGGTGGGGATGGGGTGTAGGGTGGAAGGGAATGAAGGGGGGAATAGAACAACTGTAATGGCATAATCAATAAAAATAAATAAATATTTTTTTAAAAAAGAAAAAAAAAAGAATATATACCAGGCCCTTACAGTCCTTGTCAAACTTATACCTGAATTAGATATTTTTTAAAAATGAGTTTTGAGAAAGTACTTCATCCCTGACTTGGGAACATCAGCCATGTTGTGGGCTATGCAGACAATTTCAGAAGCATTATTTCCAGATCTTCCAGTGCTCTGCTGATACCCTGCCTCCTTGGGTCCTCCCTGCTTTGCTCTCTACCCAGACTTCTCCAGTCCATGCCATGCTCACATCTTTTCAGTCAGTGTCTCTCCACTGGGAACGTTATCTACTGACTGCTGTCAGGACATTCAGCTAGTCCTGGTGATGGGGAACCTTGCAAATAGCCTCTCCTAGAAAAGGCTTGGCTTTCGGCTTCTTGGCCCAGTAGAAACCTGAACAACTCTTAACTTTGGAACCCAGTAGGGAATAAGCAACTTACTGATATTGTAATCAAGGGAAGAATAGGACAGAGGTGTTACCTTAAAATGCTATGTTCGCTTCTAATTAAACAGCTCTACCACCCTAGCTTGGGTGGCCTTTGGTCTGAAACTGGCCTCAGGGGCAGAAACGATGAATATCTCCAAACCAGCCATTTAATGACTTGCTAGGTGACTCTCAGTCGCCCTAACATCCTCTCTAGAAAACCTGTGCTTATCAGAAAATGCAATACTGTTGCTTATGTTTTCTACCTTAAAATAGAACTTAGCAACATTTTAGGTTCCCAAAACTGAGTGTGAATAGATAATGCTTTGATTAGAAACTCTACACCACAGTTTGGAAAAAGAAAAAAAAAACAGTGCACTAAAAAGAAAATCTGTATCCTTTTTCCTCAGTGTTGCCATTCCTCCTGCCATCCTTCTTCCCGCACGTCTCATCCCCTCTCTTTCCATCACTGACACTCAAGAACTTGGGTATTGCTTTCTATTTCGCCCTCTCCAGTGCCCCCCTTCAGCCATGCTATAGCCAAGATGTACAGATTCTGCTTTTGCTACAGTTTTCTGTTCTGCCTCTTTCTCTGGCTTTGCCCACCACCACCTGAGCTCTGGCCCACCTGGTATATCAACCTTGCTTTGATTAGTAAAATAATATCCTGATGTTCTTTCACTGCCAACCCATCTAATACCACTGCTTATTTTCCTGAAACATGTCTTTTAAAAATATTTTTATTGATTATGATATTACAGTTGTCCCAATTTTCCCCCCTTGCTCCCTCCACCCAGCCCTGACTTCCCCCTCAGGCAATCCCCTCACCACTACAAGTCATTTTTTTTTAAAAAAAGAACTATTTATTGAGTTGAGAAAGAGACAAAATGGTGGGGGGAGAGAGAGAGAGGGAGGAAGGGAGGGTAAGAGAGGGAGGGAGAAAGAGAGAGAGAGTAACATCAATTTGTTGCTCCACTTACTTAGGTATTCACTGGTTGCTTCTTGTGTGTGCCCTGACTGGGGATCAAACCTGCAGCCTTGGTGTATCAAGACAATGCTCTAACCAACTGAGCTACCAGGACAGGGCCTGGAATGAGTTTGAATCATGTCATTTTCATGCTCAAAAACTTTCAAGGGAGCCCCACCACTTACTGAATACCTCCTACAATGCCAAATTTTCAAGCTACCTTTTCTGGTAGTTCTCTATTTTAGCATTTTTCCCAGGTAACTCTATGTTTTGTTATTTTAACTTTGGGTACATCCTGGCTGTTCTTTCCACACAATATGTGCGGCCCTGCCTTTGCACTATTGCTCATGCTATTTCACTCAAGCCACCTGGTCTGAGTGCCGGTCCCATCACTTACTAGCTTTGTGCTTCTGTTTCTTTGTTTATGACGTGAGGATCATGATAGCACCAACTTAATAGGGGTTTGTGATGATTATATGAAGAAATCCAAAGCCCCGGCAAAAAGTAGGTATTCAGTAAATGTTAATGATCACAATTGTTATCATCATCCCTTTCAGGGACCATGTCAAATATACCTCTTTAGCGAAGCTGTTTTTAATTGCCCAGTGTAATGCTATTTTCCCCTTTTTGTGAGTCTCTGAATAGCACCTGACATACAAGGCCCTGCTCCAGAATAGTGTGTGTGCTTATCTCGACCTGGACTGGGCTGCATGCTTACTGAGGCTGAGGAACTTTTATTCATCAATGGGTACTCCGGAGGACCTTGTATAGCACCTGGCACATTGAAAGGACTTCATAAATACCGGCTAAATTGAAATAATTTGACTTTACTATTTATAAAACTGAGAAAAATAGCAAGTAAAGATAAGTACATGAAATGAACACCTTGAGAATGAGGGGGTTGCTGGAGGAAGACACTGAGATTGCTGCTATCAGAATGCACAGCTCGCCCTGACCACGCCCCCCTCCTGCCTGTTCTCCCTTGCAGGTCTGCCTAGTGGCCTATCTCGGTTTGTTCATGCTTTGTGTCTCGTATCAAGTGGATGAAAAGACATGTATCCAGTTTGCCATGAAAGTAAGTTGTCATTTTTCTTTTTCTCTTATCGTCACATAGAAAGAAACCCAAGTATAAAATAGAGGAGTGCTTTTTAAAGCAGTTGCGTATCTGATTACTCCAGAAATTGCATTTTTAGGCAGGCCAAAAAAATGTTCTAGGAGGGCATTCATCCAGACTCCAAATGTAACGCTAATTTTTTTTAAAGTCTTGATTTCCATGAACCAGGTTGGCATGGAGCATACGATATCTGTCCTTCGATGCCCTTAAAAGGAATATTGAAAATTCATCAGTTCAACAAAAAGACTTTGCCAGGGAAAAAATGCCTATATCAGGGCCCATTTCCATATCCTGGGGGCTGTTTCAAATATTTTAATGATGAAGCAGTCTACTTTCTCTCGTAGGTGGGATCACTGAGACAGGAAAAGTACATTAGGTACAAATAAGTGATCTGCGCCAAGAGTCTGAGGGCAGAAGGGGCAAGGGCTGAGGTGTGCCTGGTTTAGCGTGTGTGTGTGTGTGTGTGTGTGTGTGTGTGTGTGTGTGTATCCTTTCCTTGCAAGGAGTTTTGCTCTGTTAGAGACCGGGTGCTCAGTTGGAGCCACTTCAAGTACACAGCATTTCCACCACACACAGAATCTACGCCAAAGGGACACATACACCCCCTTTCAGAGCTTAGGGAGATATACACCCAACTTAGTAGTCAGAGCTGGTAGAAATCAAATTCCTACATTTTCTTTCAACTGCTGTAGCAGAGAACAAAAAGCATTCTTAGTGTTTTTTGTTTGTTTGTCCACTCACATTGTACATTTTTCTTCTACAATAAAATACATAAAAAACTGGATACTCCTTTGTTCACTAAAACAAGAAAGCATAACGCATGAAAGTAAGTTAACTAGATTGTTTGGAAATTACAAAGATGCAGAAAATCAGATGTTAGTATATTCTAGTGTAACTGAAACTGTTGCTATAAAAATGTGTTGATATATATATATATACATAATGTTGTAAAAGAGTAATTATTAGAATGAAAATGTTTATGTTATATTAACCAACAGAAAAGCTGGCTACATAAAAATATATGGGATGACCCTACAGAAAAAAAATAGTTCTATGTGCTTAGAAAAAAAAGAGTTATCTGTGAAAGGTGGGATTATAGCTGCATTTTGTAGTTTTTTCTCTAATTTTAAAATATTATTCAACTAGACACAACTTTTCTAATTAAGAAAAATTAATGGAAGCTGTTTAAAAAATGATAGAGTTAGAATATGCCCACATTTGGGAGTTTTACTTTTTCTGAGGGTATTCCTTAAAAGAAGGCCAGGTGAAGCAGGCATCAGTCCGTGTTGATTTCATTTTTTTTTTTTTGGTAAGGCAAGGCTTGGTGAGGATTAAAAAAAAAACAAACAGCCAGGATGCCCAGTAAGAAATGGTCTGTTACATTACAGTCGCTTCATTCACCGGGTAAAAAACTGTTCTAAACTAGATGCATCAATGTCTGTGAAGGGCCTTCGGTTCCTCCCCCAGATGGTCCTAGGAACAGGAAAGGCAAAGGCACCGGCTTCACAGAGGCCCCCAAAGCCATCTCAACATCTGCCAGTAAAAGGAGGAGCAAGGGAGAAAAAGTCACTGCCAATGTCAGCCAGGTTGAGAACTCCCCACTAGGAACATCTCATTAGGTTTCTTGCTCCCTGTTCGTCCCTCCCCCCCCCCCCCCGTGATAGGCGTTGACAAACACGAAGGCAGTTTTCTCCTGCATGTGGCCTTTAGTGATGCTTCCTGCCGGCTCTCTAAGATGCCCGCTATATTATCTTCAGCTAGAAAACGAACTTCAGTCCTTCTCAAGGTTTCCCAAAGGCACAACAGGTTACAGCTGACTTCCCTTGTTCTTCTCACACCATTTTATGGGGAAGGAATGAAATACATCTCCCTGTGCTGTTTCTCACTAGCATAACCATATTTTAGTGCCCCTTTTTGGAACCTTGGCCTCAGCTTTGAGAATTTATTTCCTCCTGTTGAGGAGGCGGATCGCCAGGCCAGCAGTCAGGTGATGATGACCGCGTCATTCTGTAGCCTGCACAAACACGCACTTTTTTCTTAAGAGGCAATAGCCACGGGGGCTTGTCATTTCATTTCAAGCCAGCATAGTCTTCTCCGCGCGTTGGCAGGCCCTGGACGCCTCCGCACCTTCCTCCTTTCTCCTGGGGCTCTGCCCCTGGGCTCGGCAGGCCATCCGTCCGTGGGTTGGGCCTCCTGCCTTTCCTGTGGCCCGGCTTTCTAGGGCTCACCTTGATGATTTTCAGAAACGTGTCCGGTTCACGTGCTTGCAGAAGCACTGCGGGCGCAGTCCCCACAAGGGCACTTAAGGCGCAATTGCCTCGTGCCGTCATCCAGGAGGCCCCTAGGCTGCAGCTGCCACCTCCTGCCTGCCGCCGGGAAGGTAATTAAATCGAAGCCGAATCGCCCTCCTCCCGAAGTCACCGCACGTTGAAGCTGCAGCCGGGTACCAATTAGAGGCAGCCAGCTTGCGGAGCGGCGCTTGGGCGCTGGGTTACATAAGCGCCCGCGGCCACCGAGCCTCCGCCCGCCCGCCTGCCCGCCCTCAGCCCAGCGCCAGTCCCACACCGGCACAACAGACGCGTCCCCCACCGGGCTTTTATCAAGATATATTTGCTCGCATTCCCAAGGTCATGGTAAACTCTTTCATTGATAGCTTATTCATGCTGGGTAGGTAAAACAAGCCACTTGATTTTAAATTACAGATTCTAACCCAGAAGCTTGTTGCTGTCAAATGAGCTAAATCCATGAAGCAAAAATGCTACAATGCTGCCGATGTAGCCCACAGGCTTTAGGGGATCAAGTACATATGCAAGTCTTAAAAATGGATAATGAACTTGATTCTGTGGCTCACTCCTGTTTACTTGGCCGGATGCTTTCGTGGAGGGGGAGAAGCAGAATCGCAGTGTGTGAGATGCGCACCCCTGAGAATGGTGAGGGGCGTGGCTTTAGTTTCTGCTCTCCCTGGCTTCTAGCACATTAAGACGGATTGCTCAGTTAAAAAGGAGCAATCTCCGTGTTTGTGTAAATGTTTACATCCTTTCTTTCTGTGAACTAAATCTGCATCGCTACTCCCACAGGACAGACAACAGGACAAAGCCAATAAAGTTGACAGCCTGAGTCCTGAGAAGGGACAGTGTTTTTTCATCTCCACTAATTTGTTGATTTCACAAACACTTAAATAGTGCTACTATGTATCTTAGCACTGTTCTAAGCCCTTTACAGATATCAACTCTTTTGATCCTCATAACAATCCTGTGAAGTAGATGCTATTACGATCATCATTCCAAGTTTACAGGTGAAGACACGGAGGTACACGGGGGGATTGCTTGATGTGCCGAGGTCCACAGCCAGTGAGGAGAGAACTGGGATTTGAACACTGGAAGTCTGGTACCCTTGTCTGTGCTCCTAACCATCACCCAGCACTGCTGTACAGTTATTAAATGTCTTGGGCAAATCTTTTTAATTTTTTTATTTACTTATATTTATAAAGAAGGGAAGGGAGGGAGAACGAGAAGCAGAGAAACATTGATGTGCCAGAGAAACATCGACCAGTCGTTTCTCGCACGCCCCAGCAGGGGACCTGGCCGCCAACCCAGGCATGTGCCCCCACTGGGAATCCAACCAGCAACCTTTTTCAGTGGGAACGTCAGCACTCCACCCACTGAGCCACACCAGCCAAGGCTTGGCAAACCTTTTGACCTCTGTGCCAGAGGTTGTCTTTTTAAAATAGACACTGTTCTCATTTTAGCAGATGGATTTTTGTGGTGATCATGACAATAATATTTTTATAACAATAGAATTACTTACAGATTGAGAATTATGCCAATGGATGCTGTGGGCATCTGCTCTCTAAGGCTGTACATATATGTGTTGGAGGTAGAAAGGTTATTACAAGACCCACACACTCCCCAGTTCCATCCCTTGATGGCAATAAAATGTACAGAGAAAACTCCATTTGGGACTGTTCTACTAAGTAGATGACTCTCAGGTGGTAGATTCTCTCTCTAACTTGAGCTGGTAAAGTCATAGATGTACCCATGTTCCAGCAAATAATTCCAAGTTTTGCGTCGGCTGCATTGGAAAGGCAGCTACACAAGGCACATATGCACATGGCACAGCCAGCACAACTGAATTTGGCTCCGGGCGCCCAGAGTTTGAAGTCAGTCATCAAGCCTGAGAATTCCAGAACAACCCAGAGTATTTCAAATATTCTGCCCCAGTGGCCCCTCAAAATAAACCCATACCTTTTTCGCCTAAGCATGCCAGTGTTTGCAGAAAATATGGCCACTGAAAATCTTGGGGATTAGGGCCAAGGCAATGGCATTCAATAACACAAATGAAATATTGCCTTCTTAAATTTTATAATGGTGCCATTTTGTATTTATCTTGTTCCCTTTTTCCAAGGGAGGCAAAAAGTACTGAGTATAAGTTACCCTTCTTATATCCCTGAGATGTAAGATGTTTCTGTAAACAGTGTCACGGGTGGGGGAAATGTGGATTATATCTGATAACCCTTCAAATGATTGGAAAATTAGAAGTAGTGTGTATAGTCAAGATAGCTTTGATGAGAAGATCCAAAGAATCCCTGAACTCCTTGGTTGTCCGTTCATCGTAAGACCAAACAGTGTTAACCACTGTCGTTCTGTGCACTCAGGTGCACAGCCAAGCTTCCTGGCAAAGCCGACACATGCTGAGGGCACCAGCAACCACATGTGTGTAAGGGTGCACGTGCACGCCCACACTACTCAAAAAATTAATTTTTTAAGTATTCTGTCTCTGAGGCTTAGAAAAGCTTGGAATTGTTAACATGTGGAAAAATCTCTCATTTGGAGGACTTTTTCATGCATAATCATACATGTATGTTTTTATTTGAATTGCATATAGTTGGCAGTGGGGGGAGGTCCAAATATTTTTAGAGCTACTTTAATCTGAACTTAGACATGATTGGAACTAATTTTACTTTGGGGAGTTCACATTCACCAGAACTGCTCCTTGTATGGAACACGTATTGACTATAGTAATATACACCTTGCTCTGTGTTGAGTACACCAGTTCCAAGATCTAGGAACTCTTTTCCTTATTTAGACCCTCGGTAGGCAGAACCATTGAGACAAATGTGTCCAGTTAATGAGATCAATCACAAGAACATTTTTTGTTCTATAAAATGTTTTTTTGTGTGTGGGCATGTCAATGACTACTCACAATTTTTGATCAAAGTACTTCAGGTGTAAGCTAAATGTTTGAATCATTCAGGAATTTCACGTTTCTTTAATGGCAGAATTAGAATTGTAGCCTGATTCTTCCTGCCCAAGGCTAACTAACATTCAGGCCAACAGTGTTCAAACTTGGTGGCTGAGGGACAATTCAGAGTCTACTTTCATGCTCAGGAACTACATAGTTATAGTTGCATTTGGGATGAGACTTGTAGGTGATGAAGTAGACATCACATTGCCTACCTTCTGGGGCCATAATTTTTTCTCCAAGCAACTACTTACTGGGGATCTTGGCATTCCTGGTCACAGTTCGACAACTCTACATTGACTATAATATTTTTAATAACCTGTATTGCTTGTTCACCAATAATTGCCAATTTTGGCTGACACAGTATGCACCTTGCAGAGAAATGTGTTCTTTACTTTCTAGTCTTGTTTCAATTTAGCATCAGTTCTTGAGGTCAAAACAAGCACAGCACGCCTTTCAGGGTGGCTCTTGTGTTTGGGATTTATCTAAGCTGCTTGCTACCTCCATACACAGACACCGCACAACCAAGCTAATATTGTTGGCTTAGTTCATGGAAAGCACCCAACATCACTATGGCAAACAAAGGTATGATCAGCGCTTAAGGATTGCTCACTGACAAATAAACCCGGAGCAATTTTTATGTCTTGGGTACTACATTTCTGAGAAGAGATAGCTCTCCACCAGGGAACTTCCTGGGAGAGAAGAAAAAAAAACAGCTTTTATGATTAGCTTTCTCAATAGTCATTCAATGTCCTTTGTAACTGGGAAGGTTTTCTTCTCTCTTGCAGCTATTGTACTTTTTGCTGAGTGCCCTCAGCTTGATGGTCTGTGTGCTGGCCGCAGCGTTTGCCGCCCACCACTATTCACAGCTCACACAGGTCACCTGCGGAACCGTGCTCAGCTCCTGCCACTGCAAGCTGCCCTCCTCGGAACCCCTCAGCAGGACCCTGGTGTACCGGGACGTGGCGGACTGTGCCAGCATCACGGGCACTTTCAAACTGTTCTTACTCATCCAGATGATTCTTAACTTGGTCTGTGGCCTTGTGTGCTTGCTGGCCTGCTTTGTGATGTGGAAACACAGGTACCAGGTCTTTTATGTGGGTGACAGGATGTACTCCCTCACGACTTCCGAAGGCCAGCAGCAGAAGGTCTAACGTTCTTGCTGAAAGGGGGCAGAGCAAACCACACTGACTAGCTGAGGTTAAAAAAAAAAAGGATGAAAAAGAAAAGAGAAAGGAGACAAGGAAGAAAGAAAAAAAACTGACAATAAGTAATAGTTACTATTCTAAATGAATATTTTTCTATTTTTCAAGAAATGAAATAGCATATCTTCATGTTTCTATAGTATTTTTTACAAAATCTTACGAGAAAAATAAGATTCAAATTGACTTTGGGATATTGAAAGGACAAGTCTTAGGACAGAATTGCATAGGTTTATCTTTACAGTCTGGAGTTTATTCCTAATACTCATTTTATCCATTACTTTTATCATCGTTCCTGTTAGTCTAGTTTGAGGGTGTGAATTAGCATCTCAGGCCCACTCGCTAAATTCTGTGGACGCTTTTCCAGGCCCTCCCGCCTCCCACCAGGGCATCCCCACCATGTCTTGGAAGAGGCAGAAGGTGTGGAAAGAATGGGACGGCCAAGTTGACTCTCTGTTTTCCTTGGTAGAGATGTCTTCAAGCCATGGAACAAGTTAGAGGAGCAGAATAGAAAGGGAAGGGCCTTTGCAAAAGACTAAATACTTATGAGCACCTGGGCTGGGGCAGCGGCCTTTTCTCCTCCGCTCCCTTGGCTGGGCACAGAATGTGGATCACTTACCGAATCTCTGGTGATTGTCTGCGTCTCGGTAATTGGAAGTTGGTGGTAGTAGTATTCTTAATGATGTAGAAGGTTAAAATAATTACATTATGCTTCTGTTCTATCATCTAAAACAAATCATTAAAACCAATTTCTAGCTAATTGTTAATTATAATTACGCTCAGAAGTCTATTTAATGAGCTCTGGTTGTACTTACGTGGCACAGTCAGTATTAGGAGATGTGACTCTCACAGAGAAGAGGCTTAAAATGTTGTCTGTTCTGAAAGCTCAGCTTTACAAGGGAGAAAAAAAATTTATTAATAGCTCAGGTTAAATATATTCATTTAAACAAAAACCAGAGCGTTTGTAACAGGAATGTTTATACAAATAGCACAGTTTTGATACGTTGTAAAGTATTCTCTTGGCAGCTAAATACTTCTGAGAAAGATTGGGTGATGCCAATGTGTTTCATTCATAAAACTGTCTTTGATATGCAATCCTACTATTGGTTTGTATGCACAGTCCACCTAGGGACTAACACTAATGCTTTGAGGTTCTTATTTGAGCGTGTGCACATTGACTTGGGTAGTTTTTGCTTTCTTTTCTTTTTAAGTAACTGGCATAAAAAAGCACAGGTTTGCTATGGTGGGACTTTTCTCTATTATTAGTGCTATTATTAAATTTAGAACAATATCAATGTTTTAAGGAAGGAGCTCAGAATGCAAATTCATGCAGCATAAGTGTTATTTAAAACTTTCTCTCTCAGTATGCTCTGTTGAAAGCAGAAATTCAAGATAATTGAGTTCAATTTGCCTTTCTACAATGCTTATATATTTTCCTAATCATGAAATTCTATCCTAAAAAACATTTTCTTGTTTGCCTTAGAAAATAGATGAATAACTCCACTGATTGTGATAAGAGTGTTGATTTCTACACAATGTAAACACCCAAATGAGAAGAAAAATGTTAAATCAGTCGGTTGGAGAATCGTATATATCTTTTAGGTCCTCCACATAAAACAACAGATCAACAGACATTAAAACCTTTTTATGTGTTGACTTGCTTTTTCAAAATGGCCTGCACAGAAGCTCAGGTCAAGAAGGCACATTGGAGGGATTTAGGGATAAAACTCCGGAGAAGATGTTTGATCACACACAAAAATTACATTGACAGAACACCAAGCATCCTGAGGATGACCTGAAAAATTCTTTGTGCTCAGTTTGAAAAAAAACACAAAAACTCAGTAATTGAATCCATTTTCATTATGGCAGTTTTTTATGTAAAGAAGAAAATGACTGAGAATATGAAATTTTGTAGGCTTTAAAGAGTGAGAAACCAGTGCCTTAACATTAATTACTGTGAATCCGGCACCACTGGAAGCACACCCTGAATACCTTTAACAACATTTTATAGCAAACACTACGGATTTTTATATTCAAAAATTAGAATGCTACACAACATTAAGGTGCTGTATGCTTTACAAGTATATTCACAGGGTATTTCAAATAGCAGACTATTTTGGCCGAGGGGCTTCCTTTTTCTAAACAATGCAACCAGTAAGAATTGACATGGCAACCAGCTTGACGACAATCAGGAGATTATAGAGATGTACATAATGGGGATTTTGCTATTGTGTAATTGAGTCATTCTTAAATCCCCAAAGTCAGGGAAAATTGTAAAAAGAACCAAAAACACAAAAGAAAAAAAAAAGAAGAGAAATGAAAAAAATGAAGCAAGGAAAAGACTTTAGTTCTGCGAACTCACTGTGTATTGATATGTGTAAAAACTGTGTCGCATGAATAACAAACTGCTTTGGGCTTGATTTGAAGTATTTTGAGTTTATGTTTTGCAAATATTGAAGATACCATAACTGCAACAGAAAAGGAGCAGATACACAGCTTTACACTTAGCAAAATGTTACATTTAAAATCTGACAAGAAGCCAAGATGGTGACTGTCTCCTCTAAACCATAAAACAGTAGGATTCGTGCAGTCCTCCTCTCCCACCTCCTGCAGGAGAATTAAATGAATCAAGACTTTGGAAAGAGGGGGAACAGCCTGGACGTGGCTCTGCTTGAAATAGGAGGAATACAGCAGCCTGAACGCACAGACCCTGTAACAGAGCCCACGCATTTGGCCTGTGCCTTCACGTGACCGCCATCTGTGCCTCCCTGGCTCCCTCCAAATTTGTGTAGGCAGCTCCTGGGAGCCATGCCTAAAAATAAAGCTACCCCAGGCCCTGGAAACTGTAGTCAGCTAACAGGCCTGACTTTGCTCCTTCCGTGGATTAAAAGTCTATATGATCTCTCTTGTCCGGCTTCCAGCTCACACAACAATGTGTTGTTCTGACAGTGAGAACCCCTTCCATGTGTGTGCTCTCTATTCATGTCCAGGACATCAGAATCTTTTCTTATTCTTGTATTTCCCCTCTTGCATGCCATATATCTTGAATATGTTTATAGATTTTTAGTAGAGGGAAGGGTAGAGGGTCAACAAAGGAAATTCCAAGGGTCAAAGCAAGCAGTATTTAAAGATAATCAGAAAGGAGCTTCAAAGTAATCCTGAAAAATCAATCCTATCATATCATCAAGTACACCTTGACATTTCGTAGGGATTATCTCTGGACTATTGCTATGTAGCCCTAAATTTCTATAAATCATGTTGGCTCTCAGTTCTCACTCTACTCAAGTTAACTCTACCACGTTTCTAGATGGAAGCTGTATGTATAGTCAGTACAATGTTTAAAGCAGCTGATGGCCAAGTATATGGACTCAGAGTGGAAGTGTTTATTTGGAGACTCTGGTTCAGCCTGTGAAATGAATACCTTGATTTGTTGCTTCTGATTTTCTAATACCTTATTATCTCGAATAACTATCCCCTTCAAAAACGTTGCTCTGTACTTTGGTGTCGTGACTTCATTCTCCTGGCACTGACGAAACGGTGAACAGAAAACACAGTGTTTCCTATATGTGTGAGGTGGTTGTTTCTATAGGTGATGTGTATCATGTAGATTTTCTTTGTTAATAAAACTTTCATAACCTTTCAAAACACCGTGTTTGGATGTGCTTTAAAGTGATGGTACATTGCACATGAACTGGACAGTGTATGTAAAATCTGTCCGATTCCTATTCACTTCAGAAATCTGGCTTTGGTACAGACCAGAACTCATATTCATTTCAACTCCTTTGTTCCAGTGACTGTCTATTTTGATGCACTACACCCATTGTAGAAGTTAAGGTGGTAAATGCTCCGCAGGCCCAGGGAGCCCAAGCTGGAAACTATCGTGCCACAAGTACTTAGAACACCGGTCTTCATGTATAGCCATTAATGACAAGTAAAGCTTGGTCTAAAGAAAGGGGTACATGCTGAGTGTCACATGTTCAATCACATTATGCATTTAATTGCATTGACAAGCAGATGGCCTATTTCACTTTATATCTGAATATAAGAACTCCTTACCCACCCTGAGGCAATTTACATAGCTGGTTATACTGTAAAATACAGTGGTTCTTTCGGTTTAATTTAATTCGAAAGGCTTACAGAATGCAAAAGGAAAGAGAGAATGACTTAGGACACAGGCTCTCAGCTGGGTCTCCTATCCTCGTTGTCAGGGCTGTAGATCTTAGTTTTGGAAATCTGCCACTTTGGATAAAACTTGTAGTCTTTAGCTTCCTCTTTTGTAGAGTAGAGAAAAACGTCCCTGCCTCACAGCCTTATGGGAAAGTTAAACGGAGTAGCCCTTTGCGAAGTGACTGGCTCCTAGAGGGAGCTTACTAAACATTCGGTCTCTTCCAACCTCAGCTAGTTTTACATAGCTGGTGACACTTCGCATTGGTGCAGGTTCCTGTCCCACATCTAGGGAGAAAAGTAGTTGTTTTGCTCTCCCCATTATTTGACTTTCTTTTTATAAACCACAAACATTATCAAATGGGCCTCAGTCAAAAATTCTGTTTTTACTGTAAGGTCGTACCAAGTCTCGATAGCTGTTGGAATTATGTGCTGGCTGGGCCCCTACTTGTTGGTTTACACATCTGGATGTTTCTTCTTTTTTAAAGATTTTATTTACTTATCTTTAGAGGGGAAGGGAAGGAGAGAGGGAGAGAAACATCAATGTATGGTTGCCTCTCATAAGTCCCCTACTGGGAACTGGCCTGCAACCCAGGCATGTGCCCTGACTGGGAATCAAACCATGATTCTCTGGTTCACAGGCCCACGCTCAATCCACTGAGCTACACCAGCCAGGGATAGGATGTTTCTTGAGTGTGGCTATCTTCTCTCTGTTCTCCCAGGCAGAAGTAGAAACTGAGACATTTCTCCTGATGTTCATATTACTTTCAATTTAATGTAATAGAAGCATGTGTAACCCCCACTTTTAAAAACACAACTTTACTGAGCTTCGGCACATTATCAGTCCGTTGTACGCTGACTTGCAGCACACAAGCCCTTATTTATTTAAAAACCACCCATCAAGTACCTCCAGTGTGCTTGACTCTGTGGGTCATTGATTCTTATTCCAGCCTCATAAAAAGATTTATTTTTTAGCATAGTTGGAAAATACCAACTACAGCTTGATTTTGTAGACTTGGGTATAAAAAAATCTCACAAAAAATCTTTACATTTGTGCCAAATTTAATTATCAAAATTTTACAGCCAGTGATCTACTTTTTCCCTTAATAGAGCCTATCATTATAGTTCATAAGAAATTATTGTAAATTATTTTTTCATTTGATATATTCAGATCTTTTATTGCTTACAGTATTTTTTTAATTCAGATTGTAAGCAAATAAAAATAAATCTAATGTATAGGGATGCCGGTTTGGAGACTATTCATTCTGTCGTTTCTTTCCAACAAATATTTATATATGTTTACACCAAAGCATGGGTTCTTAGAGGATGTCTCATTGTTGTTGTTATTGTGGGGTTTTTTTTTTTGTTTGGGAAGGTCCTCTAACCAAAGGGATATGGAATATACACTCATTTGTTACTCTAGGGAAAAAGCAGGCTCTAAAGCAATAATTCAAGTACAAAGATTTCAACTGAGACCGAAGTCTTCCATTTAACAAGATTCTCTGACTGAAATGGGGGGCAGAGGGGACCCGGAGAGTCATCTGTGCGATCTGTGCTTGGTCCTCCTCTCCCACATGAGCAGCTGTCAGAGAAAGGGGCAGAGGTTTCTGAGCTGGGCTCCAGGCCCCCCTGCTGCGACCAGGAACCGTGGAGGTGGCTTGGGTCACACCTGATGAGGCCGCTGAACAATGAGATATAAGCGGGGGCCCTTTGGTGTCCCTAAACCTAGGGACTTCGGCTTCTGTGTGGGGAGTTCCACTTACTCTGTGCGCATTCCTACTCAGACCCTTTCCCCCAGAAACTCTCCCTGGGTCCTGGGTAGTCTTCACGTGATCAGGTGTGACCAAGAGAGTAAGAGGACGGCTCTTCCGGGACCACAGGGAGCAGTGGCACTTGTGACCAGAGAAGATGACTGTAATTTCATGAAATCTACCCCAAATTGGTGTCTCTACATCTTCTTAGGCACGTGTTTATTAGACCATTGGCTACCCAGCAAATCCTTGCAAAAGATGCACTGGCCACAGTGGAGTGTCAGAAATAGAGGAAGCAGAGTCAGAAAAGCATGTGATCACTAAGCTCAGTACATGGTTTTATTCTCTTTCACTCAGGACCGAACTCAGGAACTCACAGAAAAAAACAGTGCTCCCTCGGTTACCTTTATGGGCAAGGGCAGACTTTTAATTTTTTATTAATTTTTTTCTAGATTGCCACAAAAGTGACCAAAGGATGGTTATACAGTTGAAAAGGAAGAGAGAGCTTGCTTTATTTTAATATGGAGAAGCTTGAGATATGAGACATTAGGCTCGGCTATTTAGCCAACGGCTAGGTATGTGCACTTAAGCAAATGCAGGGAGGAATGACTTCATGAGTACATTTGGGGCCTGTATACGGTGACCACAAGTACAACCCTGGATCCCATCCAACCTAGGTCGGGTTAGAGTAGGAGCAACGAGCCTGGTAAACCCTCATACCCACCCACACCCAGATTTTATTTTATTTCTTTTCTAAAAGATTTTATTTATTTAATTTTTTAGAGAGGAGGAAGGAAGGGAGAAGGAGAGGTAGAGAAGCATTGATGTGTGAGAGAAACATCGATGGGTTGCCTCTGACATGCCCACAATGGGGACCTGGCTGGAAACCCAGACCTTTGCTCTTACTGGGAATTCAACTGGCGACCTTTTGGTTCTCAGGTTGACACTCAATCCACTGAGCCACACCAGCCAGGACCACACGCAGATTTTGAAGTCCCTTAGGATGGTTCTGGGTAAAATGACGGAGAAGGCCACCCTCCCCTCTGGAATTTATGTACCTCTTTCCTGGTCTCTCTCAACGCTTCTACAGAAGAGACTGCCACTTCCCTTACCCCAAACTCATTCCACGGCAAAACCTGCTCCTCCTTCATCCCCTGTTCCATTTGTGTGAAGACTCAACTGCGGTTGTTAACTCAAGTACTGGGAGCTCAGACCCCAAATACAAAAATCTCTACAAACAATATTATTTTCATTTTCTAGACTACTGTAATATTCATCATTTTCTCCCTTTAGGAAGAAAGGGAAGAAATATCAGTAAGGTTTTGTAGTTATATTTTGAACTTTATTTTTGTTGTTGACACTATTACGGATGTTCCCATTTTCCTCCCTTTTGCCTAACTCCATTCAGCGCCGCCCCCCCACCCTGGTCCCTCCGCCATCACCACCCTTGTCTGTTTCTATGAGTCATGCATATCTGTTCTTTGGCTAATCTTTTTATCTTCTTTCCTCCAGTCTCCCCTCTCTTCTCCCTTTCCCCCTCCCCTCTGAGACCAGGCAGTCTGTTCGACATGTCCATGCCTCTGTTTTATTTTATTTGTCAGTTTATTTTGTTCATTAGATTCCACATATAAGTGAGATCATATAGTGTTTGTCTCTCTCTGGCTGGCTTATTTCATCGAGCATAAAATCTCCAGGTCCATCCATGCTGTCACAAAAGGTAAGATTTCCTTCTTTTTTACAGCAGCATAGTAATCCATTGTGTAAATGTACCATTCGGCTTATTGCACTTAGACATTAAGTTAGAAGACTATGTAAATCTGGAAGTAATGATCATGATAATAGCAATAATTATAAAAAGGAACAGATTCTAATTTTTATCTATTTAAATAGAGCAAAGTAATGCCAACATATATTAAATAATTTGGAAAAGTAGAAAGGTATTTTAAAGGTGACTAAAGCACATTAATAGATGTATAACTTAGAAGGAAGTTCTGATATATTTTTATCATAATTAAAAAATACATACATGTAAAAATATTGTTTTCATTTTAATAGGATATTACTAAAGATCAGAGGCTTTTCAGGCCCAGAGAAATGAGACATTATACTAGGGGATACCTGCCCAGTAGTCCCTTCAAACCCAATCACGTAGGTGGCCACCTACACTGTCTGCTTTAAAAGAATCCGTTTCAGAGCCCGAAGAACTTGGAAAGCATTTCCCATCAGCCCCTGCTCCAGCTGACACTGTGGAGCTCACGTGGGTCTACAGCTGAACAGGCTGCTGGTTGCAGCCAAACAAATCTCTGCTCAAGTTGGTTGAAGAGAAGCATCCAGACATCTGAGGGAAGGGGTTTTTCCTCCTACAATTTCAGAGGGCATTTCATTGTGGAAGGCAGAATGAGTAAGAAGAGGGGGAAATTTATGAGAACCTCTTTGCCCGCAGTGTTGGGCTTCCTGAACATCACTGTGACAACTCACCAAGGTTGACTAACTTTGCTCCGACCCCCGGGCTTCTCTATTCATCCCACACAGAACACCCTCAGAGACTGGCTTGGCTTCCCATTGCTGCCCAGAGGAGGACGTGTCAAGCAAGAAGCAGGAAAAATGCTCGTTTCTTGTTGAAAAAGTCCCAAATTGTAACTTAACAGTGCATTTTTTTTTTCTAATTTCCAAAATGTGCTTTTCCCCCAGAGTCCTTGAGCACAGACCTGTGGTTTTCTCTCTCCTGGGTTTTACAGTCTATCTGCCTCAAGCCAAGAGACTTGGCTCTGCTCCCCCTGAGTCAGAGTCTCGGCTGGTAGCTGAGCCCAGGAAGCTTGGCCCCACGTCTCTCCCTGGAACCACCAGACCACACAGCCTCCTGCACTCAACCCTTTGGCTGGATGTCCTGCCGCCTCTTTGTTTGGGGAGAGATGTCTTACGTAACTGCACAACCTACTAAATGCTCCATTGTCTTCCACTTGGGAGAGCTCAAAATAAACTATTATGACTTATGACTTATCACAAAGATACAATCTATCACCACGTATGCATAGCCCCCAGGGAGCGAGCCTCACCTATCTCACTTAGATCAATCAGCAGCAGGAGCTCAACGACTGTGGTCTTTGGAAAATTATGAGTTCAGAGCAAGGTGCCGGAAATATGAAGCCTAGTTCATCTATAGGTCACAGCACTCTGCTCAAACAGCACATGAAAGTCATTTGTAATTCAAGATTAAAACAGGCATAAACAATTCTGATCTGATTATTCTTTTATTAATCTGATTTTGATAAACAGCTGATGAAAGTGGAAGGTGTGTGGTCACTAGAGGAGAGATAGTCAGGCCATGAAATCAGTTTTTCTTATCTCACTAGTCAGGGATTTATTTTGAGGCACCTATTAATAGCCCACAATGCCAAGAACTGTGATCATTGCCCTGGACTGCAAAAGCCTTCCGAGCAGAATGACAGAAACCCATTGGGTAAGTTCTTCACCTCCATCTTTATTTTCTATGAATCTCTGATTAGCCCTACTGGGACTTCTAGCAATTACTTTAAGCTGGCACTTCTAGAAAAAATACATATACCTCTTAGGATTCAATTATAAATGAAAAGAACCTCTGCATGGTGTTGCCAAGGAGCTCTCCCTGGATAAGGCCGGGTGTGGACCAGGAGGAATAAAACACTCAGCATTAGGTGACAGTTCCATCTGGTTCTGCTGCCAGAGCAGCCCTGCAGGGAGAAGCTGGACAGAGAGGGGGACAGCCTGCTGCAGCCCGCTCTCTCTCCCCCATGGACCTCAGAGTCTTTCAAGGATCCCCCACAGCTCTTGCTTATTTCTTTCTGCAGCAGACATTTTCTCCTCAGGGACCAGCTACGTGATTAGTTTCAGGTAGAAGCACATTTCTTTCCCTGCTCTCTGACATGTGAGCTCTCAGCCAGGCTTTCCAAAAGGAAGCTGAACCCCCTGAACTTGGGGAAGTGCAGCCATATCCAACTGCTTTGTGAAGCACACTGGGGCAGCACAAGGGGAAGAGGTGAGGGGCTCTATCCCCTTCCTGCATCTGCCCCTGCCACTTCCTTAATGCTTCTGTTTCACGTACTAAGCCACCGAGTTCAGTGCATGGGTCTGTATACAGCAGCAGGCAAAACGATCATGTAAGAAATTTTGCTGTGCTGAGTTTTGTGTACTAATGTGGCTCAGGTTTTATTATACTTAATTCACTGAGTTAGGAAGAGCTAAGAGCAGAAGGGGGCTTCTATTCTAGCTTCTTCGAAAGAGTGATTTCCACAAGGATCTCTGAAGCCTAAGCTTTTTGCAGAAGCTACTTGTGTACACGATAGGGGAACTTTTTAGGGCACATAATCTGAAAAATGCACCAACTTTAAAATAGGAGGAACACAATGTACTTCTTTGGGTTTCCAATTTCGAGAAGACAAGGTGCAGTTCAAGTTCACCTCAAGTGAGAAAATGGAATAGTTTCTATTTTATTTGAATACAATGTACATCCAAAAGTGGGTGGGGACTACTTATACTGCAAGAACAACTCAAAAGAGTGCTCGATGTAGCTCATGAAAGGGTCATAAATTTGTTTTTCTTTATGATGCTCACTTGCTGTGTCAGAAGGATTTAGAATACATGGTAGGAAGAAAATCTTAACAATGTGTATAGATGAAAGAAATCATCAAGGAAACATAGAAACCCTATCCCTGTATAATAATATTATCTGGAGATAATTAATAAAATAGTACACAAGTCTTTTTTTTTAAAGAATGACTTCATTCCAATTCTACCCACAAGCTACAAGAAAAATTTCTTCCAAATGGAAATCATGGGAATTTACCAAACCAACAGACTTCTAATTGTGTTGTGATCTCTTCTCATGTGTCCCTGGTCTCTTCTATGTTTTAAAGTGCTTCTGGCTTAGGGAATTTTGGAGATAGGGTCAAAAATAAGGAAAGTAAAGGCAAGTAGGAAAGAGTAGAATTTAAATATCAATAATCTATCACTTCGATGTAGCAATAAAAACAAAATATATAGCAAAAATTTTCTGAAAAATACACTACATAACCCATCAGTAGATGAAAAAAAAGCCGTGGTACATTTACACAATGGAATACTACTCAGCTGTAAAAAATAGAGAAATCTTCTTTTTTATGACGGCATGGTTGGATCTAGAGAATATTCTCATAAGTGAAACAAGAGAGTCAGAGAAAGAAAAGTACAATATGGTTTAACTTGTATGTGGAACCTAATAAATGAGATAACCTGAAAAACAAAATAGAAACAGTCTCATAGATACAGCGAACAGACTGACCGCTGTCAGAGCAGAGGTGCATTATGGGGTTGGGTGGAAAAGGTGAGAGGATTAAGCAAAGAAAAAAACTGCACAAACACAGACAACAGTATGGAGAAAGGGAAGTGGGGGAAGTAGGAGAGGGTAAGGGGGGAATAAATGGTGATGGAAGGAGACTTGACTTGGGGTGGTGAACACACAATAAAAATATACAGAGGATATGTTATAAAATCATACACGTGAAACATATATAATTTTATTAACCAATGTCATCCCCATAAATTCAATAAAATTTTGAAAAAACAGTACATATTTTTAGCATACACATAAAAACAATATGCAAAAATATGGTCTTCTTTAGCTCGACTTAGACAATCCCAGAACGTTACATTAAAGGCCCTTAGAATTCAATGCCTATATGTACTGGAGAGGTCATATATACTGTTCTGGAATTAGACAGCCTGGGTTTAAATTCCAGTGTGTGATGTCGTGCAAGCCACCCACTCTCTGCCTCCCTGCCTCAGTTCCGTCATCTGAAAAACAGTAGTACACAACCTGGGTTTTTGGAATGAATAAATGAGTGAGTGAATGAATGGTTATCTGCACTAGAGTTAGAACAGAGTCTATGCTCAATGCTATGGAACTGTTTGATGATGGTGGTGATGATGAAAATAAACTGTCAACAAATTAAAATTCAAGGGCACCAGGTAAACAGTGCTAGCACCAAAAATTCCTATAGCTAAGCACTCTGCAAAAACACACAGACTAATAGATGTTATCTTCTTGAACCTAATACAAAATCATAATTCCTTTGCTCTAGCAAACAAAGGAAGTGCAAAACAGGTGATTTTCTTGTCTTTCTCCCCAAGCCATGACCTCCATTCAGTGGGCAGACTGGATTAGGGCCTTGAAGTCCTGCTGTGGGAGAGCCTTGGGGCTCACTGACCTGGGAGAATGATATGCCAGAGCCAGAGTAAGGTTTCTAGAGCCCAGAGCCATCCCATGGGGCACTCCCCTGCTCCCATAGACACAGGTGACTCCCGGTTATAATAAATACTTCATGTAGCCTTTAGGGGAATGAAAAAGCCACAAAGAGCTTCAAGCAGTGAGCTGTATACACAGAGATGGGCAAACCTTCCACCTCTGATTTGGAGACACTGGTGGATTTATGTATTCATCGTTTGCATACTTCCTTCTTTAAACCTAGGTGGGTCATGCACTGTTTTGTAAGAGGAATTAAGCTTCAGGTGGGGTTTTTAAAAAATGGCATCAATTTTAAAATGCTTTTAAGAGATCATAGTTCTCCTTTACCCCCAGATTATATTCCCTCCCACCCTCTACATCTGTGCACTTTGCCAAGCTCAGTCATGGCCCTCAACATAAACCAAAGGGGAGAAATATTTTTCTGCTCTTAAGTTTTGAATTCTGAGTCTTTTTATTTACAATCAAAGTTATTTATTACATTGGTATGATGGTAATAAGGAAACAGAAACATGGAAACAATGTTTTATAATCTCTCATAGTTTGCTGTCAGAGCTTTCTCTTTAACATGTACTTCTTGTGTTCAAACCATGTATGAAAGCCGAAGGGGTCCTTCTTGTCCCACTTGAAGGATCATCATTTTGCAGGAGAGCCAGTCGAGGTCAAGCAGGAGTGAGGGTCATGCTCAAGTTACTTGATTCAATCTCTCTCTCTCTTTCATTTTTAACATAAATGTTTGGCATAAATTCTTCTTTCTTTTATTTATTTATTTTTAGAATTTGAATTTTATTTTATTTTTCTTGGTCATAAGTATTTCTCATTTTATTTTTTTATTTTTTTTTTTAATTAATTTTATTTAGTTATTTTTCAAGTACAGTTTTTTGTCTATTTTTCCCATCCCGGCCTCCCCCGCCCCTTTCTCCCCACCTCCCTCCCATTTCCACCCCCCTCTTTTTTTTAGACTTTGCCATATAAATTAAAATATTTTACTGTTTGATTAGAACCTGTAATTATGCAACACTGATTTCAACAGGTTGACAACCTCTGCTCAACATTCTCAAGGAGGCTGAGCAGGGTCTCATTTACTTCTGGGACAGGGAGAAAAACCTTATAGTCATTTTGTGAATATATTCCAGGACATTTCTTTTACTTTTTAAAAAGAATACAACAAAAGAACATAACAGTTACTCATCTGCACCCAACCTCAATGACCGTGAGCTTGTAGAGAAATGGAAAAGGTGATTCTGGGAACCCAAGACCCTGTTTGAAGAGGAGGACTGTGAGTGTGACTAGAAGACACAGACCTGTGCAGCTTCTTTGAGAGTGTGGGTATGGTGGTGACTATATGGCATAGCAGGGGGAGCTTCCCCTCTGCCTTGGTTCAAAACCTTGACTCCAGAACTGGTCAGATTGCCAGCAGCCCAAGTCTTGCTACCACTTACTAGCTATAGACACTTGGACAAATTCCTTAGCTACTCGATACCTAAATTCCTACCTCTATAAAATTAGAGTGATAAGAGCACCTGTGTCACAGGGTCACTGTGAAGGTCACATGAGTTTATACCCATAATGTGCTGGAAGCACATTGTGTGGAGCATCCTAAGGGCTCAGTCTATGCTTGTCATTAACATTGCCTATTATTGACACTGTGCCAGCCCATCTTTGAATCTGAAAATAAAGGCCCAAAATAGAAGAAGAAAGAAACTGTTTTATTATATTTGACCAGGTGCTCAGGAATCAGCCCAGTTATGGCTGGACTCAGTGATGAAGAACCATTTTTCCCAGCACTAAACCCACTCTTAGCCATCAAGGCATCCTTGCGCACCATTAATATTTAAAAATAGAAGGCAGTTTCCAGAGTACGCTTTCTTAGAAACTCCAGTAAACTTCAGACTTATAGATTAAAGTCTGGTCTCTGGTTAATGTAACGGTGCTCTCTGTGACTGATAGACACCAGGTTTTCTCAATGTGGCACTAGATCTGCAAGGAGGGATGACATCCATCAACTCCAAATCTCCAAATACAGGGTTACTTTTAGACTCCACTCCCAATGTTCTCATTGCCAATAAGCATTAGCTATTCCCTCCTAGTCACATTCCCAAGGCTTTGGTGGTGTCCTTTCAAAGGCAGACTTACCCTTCAGGGAGCTACATGTCAGGACTTCTAAAGAGCGCCAGGACTTCAGCACCACACCTTCGAGATGCATGAAAAGCTTCAGTGTGCAATAATAAGGCATTTCTTATCAGGCGATCAGTCTTTCCAGTGTTGTGTCAATCCTTTTGCCTTCAGTGGGGCTGCAATGAGCCTCTCAGGAGGTGGCACACAAGAAAAAAAGTAGAGAGGGGCCCTAAATGAAATTCCAGTGGCAATTAATGAGCCTGGCACTAACACATTTTATGCTGAGAAGAAACATGGCGATCTGGGAGCCAGTGGCTAATGGAATCATGGTGTAGAAAAAGCTTCCACTGTTTCTGATGTTTTTTTTCACCTGTGTCTTTCGTACACAACCACTGATGAAAACAACTTACAACATACACACACAATAACTGAAGAATCTGGTGGTTTGGGTAACTCCTTCCAAAGCAATGTTCCTCCCCGCTGCATTAACAGGAAAGATCAACTATTCAACCTAAAGCTAAAAAACCTTGGACTTTGAAGTCAGTAGGTGAAACAGCAGCAGGCAGCATCATTGGCCAAGCCACCAGAAGTTAGAAACATTCTTCACCTGCTCAACTTGAAAAAAAAAGACCAGGCTCCTGCTTATCTCCTGCCCGGTAAGCGACTACTGTGAAATCCGTCCTGGGGAAGCTTGCCCGGGCCTCAGAACAGGCTCCTCTGTCTGCTCAGTGCGGTGCCCTTGGCAACACCACGGCCAGCTGCAGGGGCCGGGAGAGGCCAGACCGAGGGACTAGAAGAAGGGTATGAAACACGATGCAGCTGCTGAGCTTTCTTTTCATTAACTTTAAATTACAGCAATTTCTAGAGTTTTGGATAACTACTGAAAAGAGAAAAAAGACTGAAAAGACAATCTGTCTGCTTTTCACTTAACACAAAATGAGCAATAATGAAAGTAACTCATCCTGGAGTAGGACAGGACCACCACTCTCCCTGTTCCCTGCCTTCCAAATTCTATTTAGCTAGAAGCTTCTATTGCAGCTCTCCTCCCCTGAGGCAAGAAAAACACAGCCCAGAAGGCAGCCATCTCAGCAGCCGTCTCCTCTGCTAGGCCCTGCCCTGAGCCCAGAGTGATTCAGCAAAGCCGCCCACGCCAGGGTGGGAACAGGGCAGTGTGGCTGTTCGGTGGCTGTCGGAGCATGTGCCGTCCTTCCAGCTTGCTTGCTTGCTCACGTTGTCCCGAAGCACATCTCCTAGAAATGGCCACTAGCACCAGATTATTAAATTATTTATGTACTCCATATTCCAGGTGTTACTTGGGGAAGAGGTGACTGAGATGTCTCTGGGTTGTGCTGGGCCTGCTGAGTTGCAGTGGATGGATGGGAACGTGGTGATTAGACAAATAGGTATTAGCACTCATCTCCTAACCCCCATCTTTTCAAGATCTCGACACTCCAGTCCCTCCTCTGATCTTCTGCCCTGAGGTACAGCACTTTTTGTTAAAATTGTATCCATAGGTCTTTGATGGCTATAAGCTTCTCCAGGATGCCTGTATCTCTTGGTCACAGGATAAAAAATGACGGCAAAAGGGAAAGGAAATGTAAAAGATTCATGCTCCATTACATGTTTATTGAGTACCTACTTTGTGTTAGTCATCCTTCCTGGAGCTGGATGTACAGAGGTCAGTAAAGTGTACATTCATGTGGGAAGGAGTTTGGGAGCCACTGACGTTATTTGTAAGCAGTGAAAAAACATGAAGTTCATCCCATCTGCTTCCTATTCCCACATGAGATACACACGTCTGTATATACACACATACACACACGCAAACAGGGAAGATATGTGATTAGGGTAAATACTGAGTTTGGATTATGAAAACATTTTATGTTTTTAAAATTTGATGTTACTTTAGATTTTATATGTAGATGAATGAACAATTTCTCAGAAATGCAAGAAGAAGAACTAGGTTGGAAAATGAACCTCTTTTAGAAAAGTAATACATGAAATGAAACAGCATCATTCACACACAAATCATGCTAGGCATTAATCTTTCAAAGCCAACTTTTAAGATGTTTTGTCATGGCAAAAACAGGGGCAAGACAGGAACATACATATCCATTAAGAGAAAGCACAACATAGTTTAAGAAACCAATAACCAGTCATTTACGAGTGGCGTGGTTTATCCATATTTGCACAGAGTACCAGGTCTCCCTCTGAGACCCAGACGGGAACCTTCGGTCTTACCCACTTGTTTACCACAATGGTCTCACTTTGTTCCAGCACCTTGGCACCGCTCTGGAAGACCCGGGCCATGAAAGGACTTGGACAAGCAAATGTTTTGCAGTGTTGACCTCTGAAATTCCATCAAATATTCTTTTTCCATGTGACTTTTTTCTCTCTTTCCTTTCTTATTTCCTTCCTTCCTTCCTGCCTGCCTTCCTAGAATTTTAAGAAAAAGAAAGGAAAACGTGAGAGAAAAGGGAGATGAATTTTTATGAACTCTGTGATTACGTATAATATGGCTAAAATTACATAATATTGTTCCTATATAAGGATAGTTTTAAGCACCTGGTTATTAAAGGTGTTCTTTCAGACTACCAGTAAACAGAGACTGCATATCCACAAATTTCTTGTTGTTTAGAGCAAATATGTACAAAAGTCAAATAAATACTTAAAAAATAAAGTTAATGTTTGAATAAAACCATGATGGACTTGAGAAGTTACTAACAAAGAGTAAATAAAAACATGAATTACTTGTATGTATATTTTTATTTGGGGCATCATGTTTATCCTCTGCCAACTTAAAGATATAAAATATTTTTTAAAAAGTTTTTAAGGAAACAGAAGTCAAATATTAAATAAGATAGAAAGAGCATGTGTAAAATAGAAAGAGAAGCTACTATAATTGAGCAAAACACTTAACTCTGAAAAATGTGGACACTTTCTGCCATTATATATCTTACTTTCACAATGATTCCAAGGCCTTAAATAAAAAGTGGTTTCTTCATTTGGATAAACTTTGGAAGTTAGCTCAATAATAAAAAATCTGAAGACTAAAAGTAGGAAAGACTGAATATTGGCTTCCAAAAGATTAATGTTCTAATCTCTAGAACCTGTGAATGTTTCCTTATATAGAAAAAATGACCTGCAGATGTGATTAAGTTCAGGATCTCAAGATGGGGAGATTAACCTGGATTCTTCTGGTGGGCTCTAAGTGTAACCACATGAATTCTTATGTGAGAAAGGCAGAGGGAGGTTGGACCCTTAAAAGGAGAAGGCAATGTGACCACTGAGGCAGAGACTGACGTGATATGACTGATGTGGTGATGTGGCCACAAGCCAAGGAATGCCAACAGCCATTAGAGCTGAAGGAGGCAAGAAGCGGCTTCTTCCCTAGAGCCTCTGGAGGGAGCCCGCCTCTTCCGACACCTTGGTTTGGGCACGGTGAAACTCGTTTCGGAGTTCGGGACTCCCAAACTGTAGGAGAATCAGTCTCTGTTGTTTAAAACCACCCACTTTGCGTCACTTGTTACAACAGCCCTAGGACACAAATACAGAAAGCTACTCAGAATTAATACTCACCAACATCTTAACAGGAGTAAAAATAGCTGCAAGGAGGCAGGAGAATAATTTTTAATGAGGCAGCATTGAAAATTCTTTGTATTTCAATATCAAAGGAGTAAAGCAGAGGACTTGTTTCATTGTTTAGTACACATAACTTTAAAGAAAAACAGGCAAAATTCAGCTCACATTGGCTGGTAAAGTTTTAGTACTACCCATATAAGGAGATTTGATTCTTCGCTTGTTGAAGAAACTATAATCTCTTAAACATTTTTGTAAGTCAACATATGCACATAGTAAAAAAGAAAAGAAGAGAAAATAGCACAGAGAGATTAGACTGAGAGCTGAGTCTTACCCCCCACCCCCCAGCCTCCCCAGGCACATTCTTCTTTGGAGGCAGCCACAGTAACCCTTTCTGACTTCACTGCTTCTGATGATTATGTTCACAACTCTGAATAACATGGCTATTCTTCTATTATTTTACTTCATCAGCTTCAGGGAAACCCAAAACTAATATACTAACCTAACTTTCCACCAAGAAAGATAAAGATTTAGCTCAGCAGTTTTCTACCCAGCTCTATATGGAAAGCCCCTGAGAAGCTTTAAAAAGATGTCTATAACTAATCTCTGCCCCTAGAGGTGCTGTTTTAATTGGTTTTGAGTGGGACCCAAGCATCAGTCATTCTGAAAGATACTCAGGTGATTCTGTAGCAGTCAGGGCTGAGAACTACTAATTGAGTTCATGTTTAATCCCCACATTCTTTTCTTTCTTCCTCCTAATATTTGCTGATTATATTACATATTTTCTTTCTTTTTTGGTCATTTTTATAGTTATGCATTACTATGTCTTAATCTTTATTTTAAATAATATCATTAAATATCTATTTACTGACTATCAACTTGGAGTGCTGTTTTCTGATTTCTAGCCTCCAAAATTTCTGTCCCCTGGTACGTACAACTTATATAATCCCATTTCCTTAATTGTAATTACCAAAGACAGAAGCTAATCACCCTCTTGGCACTTAGCCCATTTGAAGAAAACTATTTATTTTGAACTTTTAAATACCGGAATATAAAACACAAAATAAAAAACACACAAATGTAAATGTCCAGCTTAACCAGTAACAGAAAAATGAATGCACAAGTAGCACACAAATTGAAAAATGCATTCCCAGCTCCCGGAGGGCCTACCTCCGCTCCCCACCTCATCCCTTCCACATCAGAAATACTTACACTTTAAGGGTGACTGCTACTTAAATTTAATTTTTTTAATTCTTAATATATATGTGAATCACTTTTCCACTTTGTTGTTTAGTTTTATCACCTAAATGGAGATATCTCTATCAAGACTTAGATAACTTATGAGTTGCTCAATGAAATTTGGTGGATTCATTTCATAGGTGTTAAGAGACGTGTTGTGCAGAAGCTAATAAAGTAGTATACTGTTTGCTCTCCAGCAGCTTATAGTGATGAAAAAGAAAGACACGCTGCCAGCTCCCAGCTTGCCTGATGGCTCTTACTCCACTTTCCTATGGAGTATAATAATATTTACCACAAACAAAAGTAATACCATAAATTGCTATTTTTGCAATCGTTTTCAAAGCCATCTTTGTACTCACATCCCATAACATAAAGGAAAAGGGAACTAGGAAGGGGCTAAACATCAAGGACATGCTACAGACCTAGCAATGTGCTAAAAATTTTTCTATCTATTAATTATTTCAACAATCTAACATGACATATTATCAACCCTATTCAACTTGTGCGGAAATGGAGGCAACAGCTCAGATGTCAAGACAATGTAATCTTACAAATGAAAAATAATGGAACTTCCATGACATTATATCAGAAAGATGTAATATTTAATGCAACTGATGGTAGAGCCACAAATTGCATGAAGTAAAATCTAACACAATTAAAAGATATTAGACAACTCAACAACTATAGTTGGAGATTTCAACACCTCATTCTCAATAATGGATAGAAATAATGGGCAAAAAAGTAACAAGCATATGGAAGCCTTGGCAACACTATCAACCAGCTCAACCTAACTGTCATGTATGAACATTCTTCCCAACAGCTGCAGGTGCACATTCTCTCAAGCACGTGTGGTTAAGCAACGATCAACCACAAGCTGAGACCTAAAACAAGTCTCAATAGATTTAAAAGGATTAAGTTCATGCAAAGTGTGCTTTTCAATCACAACAGAATTAGAAGTCAACAACAGAAAGAAATCTGGAAAACTCCTAAATATTGGCAAATTAAACAACACACTTCTAAATAAGCCATGGTCCAAAGAAGAAATCACAATGAAAATTAGAAAATAGTTTCACTGAATGAAACCAAAATATAACATATCAAAATTTAAGAGATGCAACTAAAGTAATGCTTAGAGGGAAATTTAGAGTTTTAAATACCTATATCAGAAGAGAAGAAAGACTTCAAAACAATAACCTAGGGACTTCCGCCAAGATGGAGGTGTAGGTGGACCCACCTTGCTTCCGTACACAACCAAATCTAAGAACAACTATTTTTAACAACGATTAACACAACCAGACCACACAGAAAATCAACAATACGGAGTCCGAAAAAAAAAAAAAAGGACAAAACGCTCGGCTAAACGGGTAAGCCAGCAGCGAAGCCGGTTGACCAAAAAGATCCCTGACCTGCAAGCAGCCGAAGGCGCGGATCGCGGGCTAGCTAGGGTGCACACTGGGAAGAGGCGCGGCTGGCTGTCTGCGGTAGGTCGCGCATTTGCGTGCAGATAAACCAATGAAGAGGCGAGCACTGAGACCGCACGGCGCGGGGCAGCAGGCTCGGACAATTCTGCTTGAATAAACAGGCTGGGTCGAGTGCTCGGACGCCACGGACTGGGCTAGCGGAGAGGACCGCCATTGCTCCCTCTCTGACCCCGCCCCCACACACAGCGTCACAAACCAGCGACCTGGGTGGCCCCGCCCTGGTAAACAACTAAGGCTTTGCCCCTCTTACTTACTTACCGGTGCAAACAGACCAAAAATGGCTCAAGAAGATCTCAAAGCCCCAGAGCCTATAAATCTAAGCGATGAAGAAATAGCACAACTCTCAGACGCACAGTTTAAAACACTGGTCATCAGGATCCTCACAGAACTGGTTGATTATAGCCACAAATTAGATATACATATGAAGGCAAAACTAATTGAAATGAATGGAATTACACAGGAAATCAATAGCAATGAAAAGGAAAATGGGTCTCAAATCAATGGAGTGGACCAGAAGAAAGCAAATATTGGCCAAACAGAAAAGAATGAAGAAACAAGAATTCAAAAAAATGAGGAGAGTCTTAGGAACCTCCAGGACATCTTTAAACGTTCCAACATTCGAATTATAGGGGTACCAGAAGGGGAAGAGTCACGAGTGGAAACCTTATTCGAACAAATAATGAAGGAGAACTTCCCCATTCTGGCAGAGGAAATAGACTTCCAGGAAATCCAGGAAGCTCAGAGAGTCCCAAAGAAGTTGGACCCAAGGAGAAACACACCAAGGCACATCATCATTACATTAGCCAAGATTAAAATGAAGGAGAGAATCCTAGAAGCAGCAAGAGATAAGGGGACAGTCACCTACAAAGGAGTCCCCATCAGACTGTCAGCAGATTTCTCAAAAGAGAACTTACAGGCAAGAAGGGGCTGGAAAGAGGTATTCCAAGTCATGAAATCCAAAGACCTACAACCAAGACTGCTGTATCCAGCAAAGTTTTCATTCAGAATGGAAAGACAGATAAAGTGCTTCTCAGATAAGACCAAATTCAAGGAGTTCATCATCACCAAGCCCTTATTATATGAAATGTTAAAGGGACTTATCTAAGAAAAAGAAGTTAAAAAAACATGAACAGTGAAAGGACAGCAAACTCACAGTTATCATCAACCACACAAATTAAGAGGACAGCTGGGTCAGGAGTGAATCATAGAAATGAAGATCACATGGAGGATTAGCCACAGGGGAGTGAGAGAAGGAGAAGGGGGAGAAGGTACAGAAAATAAGTAGCATAGACAGTAGATAGAAAATAGATAGGGGGAGGGTAAGAATAGTAGGGGAAATAAAG